AAAGAGTGGAAGGAAATGAAGAGAAAAAAAGTAAGAGACATGTAACGTATACCTGATTCATGCATTTCTAGTGTCACTAATCACAAGCACGTGTCCCAAAGACCGAGAGCAGGCATCCTCCTGCAAGCGAAAGACTCTACCGTTTCTCTGTCATAGCGGTTACAGGTCAAAGAAAACCAAAACCATTAAGAACACCTCTGCAATGTCAAAAAAAATTAAATCAAATCAACCAGTGAAGTGATTTTGGTGCACTCCGCAGCCTGCATCTCCTCACCGGTGCTGTGTGTGTGTCTCCCCCGTCCCACCGCCCAATGTCTGCCAAGAACGTCTTCCCAGTACCCCACCTACTCGGGCTGAAGGTGGAAGGCACTCACCATCATCATCGACCCAAAAGCCAAAACTGAACCTCGAGTGGAAGACACAGGAAAAAGCTGCAAGTCCTCATCAGCTCCACCTTTTCTTTCTGGACGCAGTATTATGTGACAGAACTCCATAAAAGCCAGAAAAAAGTCAAGAAGTGTTTATCACTCTGAGCGGCGCCCCGAGGCAGCAGGACTGTTAGTCTATAGGTGGAGTTTAGTGTGTTTTATAATATTGAAGTATCAGAGGAATGTAATGGAGCTGACTGCTGTAATCCTGGGAAGTGATCTTGCCTTTTCCACAAATTAAGAAAAAAAAAAAAAGCCAAGTATTTGGAAAGAGAAACTTCCTAGCAAAACCTAGGGTGGTGCTAGAACTGACAGCAGGTTTGAAGGACGGAGGTGGCCTTCTGGCAAAAAAAAAAATAAAGGAAAAGAAGTCTTGTTCATAGCAGCACGGAAGGAATGTGCTGCTAGAAAAGACCGTTTTGGACAAGACACCAGATCAGAGCCCTAGACTGGCTGAGTCTATGGAAATCTTGAGATACATTTTGGAGAAGAGGAATTGCTTCCTCTGTGCCAGCCCCACTGGGAATGTATGGAGCATCCTTAGATCATTCTGCCCCTGGAAAGGGAGTCAGAGCTATTCCTGTCTCTTCCTCAACGGCTGTGTAACGTGCTGCCTCATATTTCCAGTTCAGCACTTCTTTCCACCTCAAAACCATCAGTACAACGACATGTTTCCTACCTATGTCAAGCCTATACTGTGAAAAGGAGGAAGGTGAAAAATATTCTGACTATTTTTGTGGGTCACCCAGTGCCTGACCAAACCCTTACCGCAGGGTCGAGTGTCTGCCTGAGCGGGAAATGCTGTTGCCGACCGGCGAGGGTAAATTACTGCCCCTGTGCAGGTCCTCGATCGATCGGCTCCAAGGTTTGGACTTGTCCATTGAGTTTTCCACGTTGTTCTCCAAGCTTTCGAAGTCAAACCTGAAAGAAAACAGAAATTCCAGCGCCAGGTTAGACAGAAAAAGGTGCACACGGCGTTTTCCTTCCTGTTCAAGACCTGCGGGTTTTAGTCAGTCCCAAAAGATCCCAAAAAGAAAAGAAACACCGCAGGCAATGCTTAAAGCTGTCTCCTTCTCACTTCAATCAATCGTGCAAGCACTAATTCTGCTTCCTCCATCAATATGTGACAGAGCATTGTCAGCCCTCACAGATCGTCCAGCATATGTAATAGATTACCATAACCATTACAGATTTTTCTTTGATTTCTGACTCGTTGCCCACTGTACTGCTATTTCCAGCAAAAATGGCTTGTTCCCCTTACAGCTTTTGAGGTTATTACTCATGTTTACCACGTTAGAGAGGGGAAAAACCCAGCAAGCTAGCTTGCGTACATTTGTATAATTTCAAGAAGAAAGTCTTTGTGCAAACACTTCTTTTTGCTGTGCACAGGGTTTGTTTTTTTTTCCCAGTGTTAGTAACATTTTAAAACATATAATTTTCCTTCATTAATTTTATTGCAACCCCACCAAAAATCTCTTCTCTGTGCAATGATACATCTACATCTGACAGCATCTCTTCTAAAAATAGAATATCAGCTCTAGCCAGCTGGAGTCCCTAACTACATGGGTATCTTTAGCTAATCGCTTCTTTTCATACACTTCTTGAGAAAATCTACTGCAACAACATCCTGAATTTATATATATATAATGGAACTAATATATGTATGTATAGAATTAATATATATATATTATGTGGACATAAAAAACAGATCCTCAGCTCAACATTTATGTCCAATCGCGTGATGTAACAACTGATGAAAGCTGACTTTTTTCCTCCAGGTTCTTCCAATAGAGTATATTTAACGATTTACTACCTAAACAACTAAACTCGACTCCCAGCCAACTGGCTGCTAGAACTGAAAAAGCTTGGTTTATAGTCTTATCGACTTGCAAACCACCTTGAAACTCCTACTGTTGCCTTACTTACGTGACCGCATACTGTGCGAAGGACAAGTACTCCACCAGAACGTCCAGGCCTTTGTTCTCTTCGTTCAGGAACTCCCTGACCCATCTGTTAGAAAAATCATCAGAGATCAGAGCGTTTCGAGGACGTCGTCATGAAGTTACTGGAATTCTTGTTCGGATAAACCAGAGACAGAGCCATCGTGGGAAAGGCAACGCTGGGCACACCTTTGCTTTCCCACTCAGTAAAAGAGGAAATTTTTTAAACATGCTTTATTATTTAGAGGACTTTTAAAAACTCCTTTACAAGACTTCACGAATGTAACTGGAATGAGCTTTTCTCCAGCACCCTGATGGGAAAAACACTCCACACATTGAAAAAAAAAAAAAAAAAAAGCATAAAACCACCTAGACACAACTCTGCATTGCTCAGAAATGAGACATTTGCCTTTCTAAGCACCGAGCTGCAGAGCTGGTACGTGCTGTCCCACAGCAGCTGCCGCCCGGCTTCGCTCCAAACGCCGGCTCGTCCCCTCCCCATCCCCTAGCACATGCAACCCGCCAAACAGCGGTTGCAGCCACCTCCTGGCGCATCCATTTGGTTTTAATCAATAAAAAGGCCACCAGGTGCCACTGGAACAAGCCGGGAGCCAGGGAGGAGCGTGGGGCTCGGGCCACTCACTGTGCCTCGCAGCTGCGGAACCTCAGCAGAGTCATTCCAGTCTCCAGGCTTTAAATCTTGGCACTGTTTACCTGCTGAAATAAACCACCTGGCATTTCTATATAAACCCATTTTTGAAATGTATCTTTCAGCCAAGTGAACCAAATAAATAAACACTGGTCCCATCAGCCTCTTTATCTGATGCACCCACCACGGTTCCTTCCGCGCTCCCGTGAGCTCTCATAAATCTGTTGAGTGTCACAGTTGGGGTACTCTAATCCTCCTTTGTGCTGGGAAATGAGGGAAAACATAGCAGGAGACAGAACAGGGGTGTGGGAGAAGTTTCTTGTAAGTATTTGCGAGAGCACAGCTCACGGGAGGCTCTCTGGCTGATCCCTCCTGCAGTCAAAAACCCTTCGTTTCCTCAAAATAAGAGCAGCACCTTGTAAAATCAATGTAACTGAGCTGGACAATGGTGTGTGATCACAAAACAAAATGCTGAAGAAACTTCCCCCACTGATGTATCAGTGCTGAACCGGCTCCTGGTCCCAAGACCCAGAGTGTTGAGACCAGTGAAAATGCGGACAGGACTGGCGTGTTCAATGAAAACCAAAGTCTCTGGCCATTCTTTCACTTTTGCTCTTTGAGAGGAATTTTCTGCTTTCTGGAAGTAAAATTCTGGCAACATTACTCACAGCCAGCCTTCATGAACTACATCATATTAAAGCTATAAAACAGCATGGGGGTTTTTTATACATATATTTATAGCTGCAATACTATTACTATTCTAGACACGACCATGCTCACGGCTGCTCTGACTGACTTAGGGTGAGCACAAGTTGACTGCAATCTTCTTGTGGCCTTCAGAGAGATGTGGATGAACCCTATCATGAAAGGATTAAAGCTGAATTATTCTCCTGAGATGCCCAGCTATCCCTTAACTGAGCCCTTCAGGCTTTAACAATCAATCAAGTGGTATCACTGCTTGACATGCAAGGAGATAATTTCTCAAAGGCATCCATCAATAGATGTAAAAAAAAAACCAAACCAGCCTTAGACCAGAGGACATAAAAAACTCTTACCCGATGTGATTTGTTCTTAAGGAAATTTCCAGTTCTCGGAGTACTTGAGTAGACTCTTGGACTCGTCTTCTGAATTTCTGTAATTGAGTGAGCAGGCAAAAATAACAATTAGACTTCACGTGATGCTATTAGAAAACCCAACATCTCATGCAGTGCAGAATGAATAAATAAAACATAAAGGTAAACTGAGATCCCCTCTAAACCCTGAGGAATGCAACAACAATAGTCTGGCAGTCAACAAAACCATACTCAGAAAAATAACTTCCGTTCCCATGCCCATTTTTGAGTTTCCAGGATTAGGAAAATTAAAAGCCTGTAGACAAATAAAGATTTTTTACAATATAAGCTTTGTTTTAGCATCACACTCTCCACTGAGAACTGCAGCATTTGGATTTCATTCTCAGCCTGGTGCTCTCATCTTGCTCTCGCAGCTTCACACCCACACCAAGAAACCTGCTGAGACTTCTGTATCATTACCAAACCCGAGCCCATAATGAGATATGCACGCATTGCCATCTGCACGCTTTCATAATTCTGCATCTGCAAAATAAGACCCTGGGAGAAGGCCAGAAAATGGAAAAAGTGAAACACTTGCAGCAGGAAGGAGGTGAAGCTTCGTGTTATCTCCGTATGGGAGGAGAAAGAGGCAACCTGGCAAAATCCTACTGGGATGTGGTGAGAGCCCGGCTTCATGACTCGAAGCCGGCACCAGTCACAGCAGCAAACCTCTAAAAACACACAAGCAGCTCCTCTCCATCCTCTGCCAAACGAACGTGCAGGTGGGCTGCCTTCGGTGTGCAGTGATGCCTCCTCTTTCCTGCCTTGTGCTCCCTGCCCTAGGAAATGCACTAAAAGAGCTTGATAAATTATTCCGGTTTTGGTAAATTCTCGTTCGTGAACAAGATAAATGAGAGCAGAAGTGGATGGACACTGGAAGCTGCAGCACTTAACAACCAGCTTGGTCATCGGTTACGGCACACGCAGACTGGAGGTGTTTGGAAAGGGTTTACAAACACTTAGGACGCGAGCGATGCTGCAAGCAGGACTGTGCTCTGAATAATAAGGAAAAAGGGGTTGTTCTCGGTGCATCACAATAAACTCACGATAAAATCAAGAGGACTCTTTGGCAGTTAGAAATTCTCCACAGTTCATTTACTGAGGTGGACGATGAAAGGTGAGGATTTACCCTGCCTCGCCAAACTACGTAAAAATTATCAGCTGCCTTTTCACCAGGGTGTTATCCCGTGCGAGTTAACACCACTGGCTTACTTGAGGTAAGACTAAATCCCAGCTCAGAAAGGCACCGGCAGACTGCAATTGAAGTCCCGCTGCAAAGTCCTGGTAGACACAAGGCACTATTAAGTTTTATTTGGAAACATCCAGTTTGAGATCAGACCTACGGTTTCTCCGGACCCCAGTTAAGAAGCTCAGCTTACAAAACCACAGGGTTTTCTCTCCCGAGAGAGACCACAAGCAACATAAAACCTTCTAGAAGTAAAGGTAAAACACCGATGTAGCGAGAGGCAAACAGGAGCCTGGGGTGGAAGGGCACACCCGAAACAGGCAGCCCATCACCAGCCAGCCTGCTTTGTGCTCTGCTCTGCTCCACGAGCCACCAAACCACAACTCCTTTACAAACGTGTCGCCTCAAGGCTTCTGTTTGCCTGTTTTAACGTCAGAAAGCAACCGTTTTCTGGGAAGAGCCACTACGACCCCGATTACAACCCAAATGCTCATCTTGCAGCAGCACCTTCCCGTGGCCACGCTGGGGACCACCAGCAGAACCGCTGACACTGCCCCAATCTCAGCCATAATCCCGACAAGATGAGTTTTCCCCATGTGTCCATCCAGAAGCCCATTTGTAAACCTTTCCGCCTCGCAGCCCAGGCTGAGGAAAGGCTGCCGGTGATACTGAGTAACGCAGCAAAAGAGGGGGAACTCGATGGAAGTTATTTTTAGGCTCCTTCGGTTTTGTCATTTGTCATGGGGCTCTCAAGAGTGGCATTAGGATAAGAAAGGCTTCAATGTACGCCCACAGAGCAACCACAGAGCAAAGCCCAGCGCCAAGCGGATTTCAGAAACCCTTCAGGAGAGAAAACACAAAGACCTCTGTTCACAAAACAAACACAAAAACACTATAATCAGCTACAGGCAAATTTAAAGGTTTCCTACTAAATGGTTTCCTACTCCTTGTCAGAGCCCCCAACAAGAGGGGCACTGTCAGAAGATATCACAGCAGCCGGGAGCTGATGACAGAGAGCTGAAGCACAGGGTTCTGCTATGCTCTCCCTGCTTTTTGGTTGTTTTGGGGTTTTTTCTGTGGGTTGTTTTTTTTTTAATGGCTATTACAACTATCAACACAGGATATGAGCTGATATCCGAAGTGGTTAAATACCAAAGGTTCAGCGACGGTTCTCTAAAAGGGATGTAGGTTTACTGTTATTTTAAAATCTTGGTGGCTATTCCTAAGCCCATCAGAGACATATCAGACCCGGCCACAAACACATCCCGATACAGAAGCCATGTTCGGGGCTGTACGATGTTTAAGAGAAGGGTGGGTGTTGTGCTGAGGGACGTGGCTTAGTGGTGTTGATAGGGTTGGGACAAAGCTTGGACTCGATGGTCCTGAAGGTCTCTTCCAGCTCAAACTGTTCTATGATTCTATGTTCACCTGAAAAGTCAAGTCAAGTGCTCAAGTCTTTCGTGAGTGATTATCAAACTATTTTGGACAGAAGAACATGCAGAAGGACGGGTGGGGCCCTGCCATGTACCCTGGTTACCTCTTTACTTCACAACCCTGAAACCTCAGACGAGGCTGCAAGCGAGAGCTGAGCTATGCCAGCTGTACTGAACCCTCGACATGCAAATGTCCGGAGACAAGGACTCAAAACTTCAACACCCCTTCCCACGGGTGAGGAGAGAGCCACCCAACAGAGGGTTTATTCACCACCAGCACTGCCCACGTGGAAAGTCAGACCTAGAGTACAGCTCAGTGATAATTTGTCAGACTATTTATCAAAGGTGAAGCTATTAAAACAAGCTGCTTCGCGTGTCAGATGGCCCTTCTCCTTGCAACATCTGTCTTTCCAACTTCTTTCCAGCCTCTCCAGTTTGTTACATCTCCAAGACCCTTCTCGGGGCACAAAGGGAGGAAGGAACTCGGACCCTGGGACCATTCTCGCCGAGGACCAAGGGTCGGATGAGAGGAAACAGGAGGCTCCTCACCTTCCTGGTTACAGCCGGGTCCAGATAGCCCTTCAACTTCTGGATGTATGTGTGGGGGGGGTTCTTCACTTGGAATCTTTCCTGCAAAGGATAAAATAATAAACATCAGCCATTTGATAACACCTTCTCTATTTACTTACTATACATGTAAAACATGTGCAGGCATATATATATTTAACCAGTGTATATCTTCAGTATCGATTTATATGTACACCCCTTACGTTCATAACTATATGCGTATGCAATATGCATGCAAATAAAAACATATTTACATGTATCTTGATATTCCGAAATTTGCTATTTATATAGGATGCACAAAAATATACCTTACATATTCAACGACAACTTTTCATTTTCACATCTGAAATAACAGGGTTTCTGCCATCTGGGCGCCAAAAAATCCCCGCCTGCCAAACTCTTTTCTCCTTGAAGGGTTTCCCAAGGCCCAACCTTACATGGGGCAACTCGATCTGCAATGCAGCCGCTGCCACATTCAGCACTGAATTAAAGATTTGGACGACAAATACAAGGTCTGCAAAGTTTGTATTCTGAGAGCTCCTTGATTTCTGTCTGCTTTACCAGTTGCACGGCCAGTTTGAAATTCGTTCCTACAAAAGCTGCTGCGAAACACAAGTTGTTCTGTGAGGAGCGCACTGCGTCCAAACCTGCTAAGAGCATTACCAAAAAGTTCTGATACTATTTGTATCTTGGAAGAATTTTAAACTACTCTGCCCTTTCCCTTGAGGAAAGACCTCATAACAATTTCCTCCTGAAATTTCACGTTTTATAACCGATAGTTGAAACCTCCCTTTCGTAGGTCAGGATGCAATTTTGACTATATTAACTGGAAGTTATTTCATAATGAATAGGACACCGCTGCCTAGTTACCAGAATGCACTGTCTGAACACCAGAAGTTGTTCCTGTTATTATCTTGCTGCTTGCTGTCAAAAAAGCAATTCATCATGGTCAGCAGGGGGGAAAAAAAAAAAGCGCAAAAAAAATCTGCCCTGCAGTGCACCAGTCCCTGGCATGAGCTCTGCTGGACAGACAGCAGACATTGCTTTCCTCTTTTACAGCTGGATTTTACTTTTTTTTATGCACCTTCATGTGTATGGACCACACACAATCCTGGAATTTAGCATCTCCTTTTTACCTGCAATGACCATGTAGTCCAACTGCCAAAGTACCACAACACCTAGCTTAATTTTTGCACTTCTTAAAGTCCGGTTTCTCAGCCAGACTTAGAGCCTCCTCGGGGTACTGAGGACCGTGGCTTTACAGCAGGTACAGATGTATATAGATGTATACAGAAGCAATCTCCATCCATCAGTCCATTTTAACACTTCTTTGCGCTGCCAGATGAACAAAAAAAAAAGAAGCCCTTTGCCCTAAATGAGAATCTGGCTCACTGTAGACTAGTAAAGAGTTAATAGAGGTACTTAGACCTTGGAGATCACCATCGTTCCTCATTTTCTCCCTCAAACCCTTTTTGGGGGGTTCTCTCATGCCAACGTAGCTCTGCTGTGTTCAGTCTAATCCTCCAGAGAAGCTATTTTGCTCTTAAGGATTTATTTCTCTTACTAACTAATCAGCCATCATCTGCTGAAGTGACAGGAGCTTTTCCTAACTGCCACTTTTAATACATGGAGTCTTCACAACGAAATGCTGAACGAGACTCGGCAAGCACCTTCAGCAGTCTGCGATACAGATACTGCATGGTTCTGTTTATTTTCTTAAAACCCAGCTGTAATTACATATTTATGGACTAATCTCTTAATGGCAACTTGATTAAAAAAGATGCTGCTCATAACTGTATAGTGCAATTACTGGGGTTGAAGGATTTTGAAGATACTTTCCACGAACAGCAGATACCAGCAATGCTTTTCTCTAACCAGTGACCACCAACCACTCGTGGTAAACATTTACTAGCCCTGGAAACATTTTTATAGCCCCTTAAAGTGCTTTTTTTTTCTGCTTCGGAAAGCCATGAGGGATTAGCCTTTAAAATTGCCCTTTCCTGGCTCTGATTACTGTCGCAGTTTATCCAGCTTTGACCGTTTTGTATCAGATACGTCGCAAGCTGCAAGAACCGGGGCTCAGCGCTGCGACGGCAGCCTGAGGCTCCCTGACACCTCGAGGACACCGCGAACGTCCTCCCAAAAATGAAGAAAGATGTTTTGCCAGAGCTCACATGGGGTTTGAAGGCTCAGTGGCTGTCGGGCCAGCGTGATTTCTGTCTGGTATTTCACTTGCCATCAACGCTGTAAGGGACTGAGCAGGTTGGTCAGGCCGGAGTCTCAGATACCGTAAATAACGAGCTAAAAACTGTTGATTTTTCCAGTCTGCTCCTCCTCTCCACTCCTGGCAATTCGCAACCACTCGCTGGCCAAATCTGCCTCTTGAAGTCAGAATCTCTACAGAGAAGGCTTAACGCTATTTGAACGAGGAGTTTGGGGATTTTTTCCACATGCTTACGAGGTTTAAAATCCCTATTTGAGTCTCTCAACTTCGCTGAGCAAAAAACAAAAAAAAGCATAAGCCGAGAGGTGACATCACGACTGGGACACGGTGGCTTCAGCCCCGGCTCGCCCCAGGACTGGGCCATTCAGACACAACAAAGTTAATAAATCCCGATGAAACCTATTTTATCTCCGCTACGTGACTCATGTAAGCCTCAACGCTATCTACAGCCCTGGGAGGAGAAAGGCGCAGACCAGCAATAACTCGACCCTGCCTTTGTCAGCCACCTAGCAAGCTAACTAACTTCATTTCCCAAGGATAAAAGGCCCTTTCTTACTTGAAAAATTGCTGAGGAGTGATGCCATAAGCCAGAATGACAGACGAGCGCAGAGAAGCGCATGCAAGGAGCCAGCGGCACCAGACCGGAGAGCAGAGAAATCTCCTGGTCTCGCACCTCCCTTCAGGGGCATAAATGATGAGGAAAAAAAAGCTTGGAGAGAAGAGCACAACTCAGCTCCTGTGCTTCTTTTACCTGCAGTCTCCAGAATTAGCACACTTTTTTTTTCCTGATGGATATCAAAAAAAAAGGGGCTGAGGGGGCTTTATTTCAGCAGAAAAGAGGAACTGCCAGATTCCTGCATTTCCTCTTCCACGGGCTCCTACAAAGAACTCAACACTTCTCTTATTCACCCAAATCTGGAAAACGTATTAACTCTGTAACCAGGAAATCGTGGCTTTTCCAGAGAACTTTTGCTTCCAAAAAACATTCAGAACATTTTCTGCGTTAGTGACATATGTTATTACTATCATTATTACTATTAGCCTTGGTAACTTGTTTCATTCTTAGGATTCACATAGTCAGGTAAATATATCTGATCCGGTACCCAGGCTTGTCAGATATATTCTATCCTGAACTTAACCCACGATGGGGAGATCCAACGGTACAAAAAATGCTTGGATTATGCACGGGTTTTTCTTGAAATAGAGCTACAGCTACTACTGAGGCAGGTGCGAAGATACGGAAAATGGTGTCAGGAAAAGCCAGACCTCTGCTGTAAAAGCGTTAATGGCACTATATGGTAATATGCAGCTTTTCAGTCACGTCCCTTCATCAGGTTTGGGGCTCCCTCGAGATATTTGCCAAACAAACAGCACAGCATCCCCACGAAACCCTGTCCCTTGCTCCGTCCCGTCCAGCTATCACCGTCTGTCCCCTTCTTCTTCAGCCATCCAGGAGTTCCCTCCCTCCTGCAGCCTTCAGAGTAACTTTTGTAAAAAACCAAAATAATCTCTCTCCCCAGACTTGGTTTGTGGGGGGAAAGCTGCGCACGCTGTGTTCCCTTGGCAGGGTTTGATGAACCGCGGTGCAGGGGGTTGGGAAGCAGAAGTAACCCTGCCTTAAAGGGAGTGCATGATTGTGGCACAGACTAGACCTCACCATTAACATTTTTGCCTCATTTACGGAAGGATCTAACCACTATGGTCCATGCTTGTTGAACCGAAGCATAAATGAACACAAGTCTGAGGGTCCCTCCAAGGTTTCAGATGTTATACTGCCCAGGGCTACTTGAACGCCGTCTATTTCTGACGGCCTAACCTCACACCACCGGGTTTCCACACCTGGGTTCCCCCTTCAAGGCAATGCTCCGGGGAGCCCTCCCAGGAGAACATCCCCCTGCTCGTGGGAGAGCCGGGGTTTCACCCAGAGAGCTGGAGGACTCGGGGACCGTCCCAGCACAACCTTCTCACCTGGGGTCGTGACTCCAACAGGGCCCAGGCCTGGGCACTTCTTGGTCACGGAAATAAACCCTGACGAGGAACATGGTGCCCCACCAACACACCCCATGGGGCCTCGTTTCAGGTGCAATTACCCCTGATGGAGACACAGAGGGGACCGAGCCCCTGGAGGGGTGCCACAGGACACACCAACCAGGAGGGTGCTGGAGAAACGCACTGCCCTCCCAGTGAGCGCCACGCTGGCTCCCAAACAGCCAGCACGTGCCCTCAGTCAGAGTTTATTAGGAGAGAGTTCCACAAATACCTCAGTGACGTGAAGGGCCTGGAGAACAGACCTTATGAG